AGTTATGCATTTTTTAAATAGCTGTTATGTCCAGTGTTGTGTTTGTATTTATGGTTAATTTATGTAGCACCGTTGTCCTGCGAGACACGACATTTCATTCCTCGATATGTCCACACATATAGCGAAATGACAATAAAGTTCGATTTGACTTGCAAAGTAATTTTTTAAGTGTATGTTTGTCCATTAAATATAAATAAAAAATGATTATTATTATTATTACTTTATGTTTTGCTTAATATGCAATTTTACATACACACACTATTTACATTTGTAATGTGTAAATAATAAAGCTTTAAAAATAAATCTATCATATTTGTAATGATCAATTACAATCAATTTTGTTACATTATGATACATGTTTAATATAAAATAGCAAAAAGGAAAATTCACGTTAGCTCAAAAACTAATATTAACCGATATTTCCTCAACTATAATACTAACTTTTAAATTTAACAATAATTTATTAGTAAATATTGAAATTAACTTAACAATGAATCATAAACATGTTAGATATCAGTTCATTACAAGTTCTCATTAAGTCATTTAATTAACTTATGCTCATAAATTAAACTCTATTGTAAAGCCTCACCATAATAATATTTATTTACGCTCTCATTAAGTCATTTAATTAATTAATGCTAAAAAATTTAATCTATTTCAAAGCCTCACCTTAATAATAATTATTTCTATACTAATTGGTCATAACAGAGGGAAAAAACTGTCAGGAAAAAAGAAAATAAAAATCCAGCCGTGCAACATTAAACCTGAAAACCCCATGACTTTATTTTAACACGATCGCAGTTCATTACAGTTTTTACGCCTGTCGTCCTTCTGTCATTTATCCTTCAGATTTATTTGGAGAACTCAAACAAGCCTTTAAATGCTCACAGACAAAGAGAGAATGTGGATGGAGGGGGGAAAAAAAGCACATCACTTTCTTCCTCAAATATTCCTGTAAGCAACAGCGAATAGCCTACTAAAAACCGCCAAGCGCTGCTCTCAAACAAAACAGCACTTTGCTGACCCCTGTGTGTAAAAACGGGAAACCGAGCGTGTGTGTGCATGTGTTTTCTCTGCCACTCTTCCTGCCATATCCAAACAAAGTGCGGTGAGTAAAAAATGTAAACTACAATCAGAGAGTAGCAGTGATCTACCACTTTATTACTACGGGCACTGATTGAAACGCCAATCTTTAATGAACACTAGCGGCTAACGCACACACTTACGAGCTCACAGGCCTAAACTGATGGTATAATTAAATCAAGCTTGTTTATTTTTCCACATAGCAATCTTGATTGCGGCTGTCGTGGTATGACAGCAGACTTTAAATATGAAGTCCTATGTCTGTGCTTAAAAGTACTGTACTTTTTATTCACTGCACTGAAGCTCTATTGTGATGTTGAGCATCCTGCTGTTTTTTTGTCATCACAGCAGACGGTCCTCCTGATGGGTCACCCAGAAAACCTAGCTTATGGTATAATGGGTTCTTGTCTTTTGGCCAGTGAGTTTCCACTTGAATTATTTAGTTCCATATTACGGCAGCTGCTGTATTTAACTGTACGTGTTCAGCGAGCGCCCGCAGGTGCTTTTCTGGATCTTTCCATCCTACTGACTTACAAAACCAACCATTGAGGCTCATGAATCATTTTAAACAAACACTGGCTCCGATATTTAAAAATGTATCTTTTAAAGGTGACAAACTTAAATGTAAATCACAAGAAAAAAGCACTTTGTAAGCTAAATGTTTCACAAATAATAATAATAATAGTAACAATAATTAAAACAGGGTTTCCGCAGATTTTATGAAGTCAAATTTAAGGCTATTTAAGACCATTAGGAATATTTAAGAGTTATACAGGGTTAGGATTTTTTCTAATGGCCAGGTATTATCATGAGGAGTTGTGTAAACGTGTTTAGTTTTATCAATTATTAATTTTCTTGTCGGCTTAGTCCCTTTATTAATCCGGGGTCGCCACAGCGGAATGAACCGCCAACTTATCCAGCAAGTTTTTACGCAGCGGATGCCCTTTCAGCTGCAACCCATCTCTGGGAAACATCCACACACACATTCACACACACACTCATACACTACGGACAATTTAGCCTACCCAATTCACCTGTACTGCATGTCTTTGGACTGTGCCAGAAACCGGAGCACCCCGGAGGAAACCCACACGAACGCAGGGAGAACATGAAAACTCCACACAGAAATGCCAACTGAGCTGAGGCTCGAACCAGCACTACCTACTGCACCACTGCTTCGCCCAGTTTTTAGTTTTATTTTTTTTTTTTTATTTAGGGAATTTTGTTTTTATTTTTTAGTAATTTATTTGGGGAACAGCTGTTGTGAATTGCATCTCCTTGCAATAATAAAAACTTACATATAAAAATAAGATTATATTGAGATGTATAGTTGGTCATTGGAAGAATGTCAGCCCAAATTGAGTAGCTTTACTTGGAAAAACAAAATTAAGACCTGTTTAAAACTATTTAAGACCTACAACCAGGGTATATACTGAAATCAGAGAGTGAAATTCAATAACTGTCAAGACTCTTTCCATACATGTTGAGACCTCATCGCCACTTTTGGTTTCACCCAGCTACTTTAGCGACATTTTAACGTACAGTATATTTACTAAATACTGATTGTAAGAAACTAATCCTAAACTAAAACATTTATCATATACTGATTAAAAATGATAATTGGTGCCTGTAGAACTGCAGGATTTTCACAAACTACACAGCACCCCAATATTCAGATAAAATTCAGGCAAACCTTAGCGTACAACTATACATTGTAGAATCAAAAATGATAAAAAACTTAATACCTTTAAAAAAATTTTTTTTTTAAAAAGCATTGAAGACTTTTAGATATTTTTAAGGGCCTTAAATTTCTTTAAACTCATTCATTCATTTTCTTTTAGGCTTAGTGCCTTTATTATTCCGGGGTCGCCACAGTGGAATGATCCGCCAAGTTATCCAGCACGTTTTACGCAGCGGATGCCCTTCTAGCTACAGCCCATCTCTGGGAAATATCCACACACTCTCATTTACACACATACACTACGGACAATTTAGCCTACCCAATTCACCTGTACCGCATGTCTTTGGAATGTGGGGGAAACTGGAGCACCCGGAGGAAACCCACGCGAACGCAGGGAAAACATGCAAACTCCACACAGAAACGCCAACTGACCCAGCCGAGGCTCGAACCAGCGACCTTCTTGCTGTGAGGCGACAGCACTACCTACTGCACCACTGTGTCACCACTTTCTTTAAAATGATTTATCAGTTTTTAATTTTAATAGCTTTTAAGACCCCGTGGACACCCTGTACAACACAATATATCAGTGAAAATAAGACTTTTTAACACCTAAAATTTAGGTCTTTTTAATTTGAAGACATTAAGACTTTTTATGGCCCAGCAGACACCCTGGCAGACTACCAATTTTATAGAAAAAAGCATAAACTGTTGATAGATTTGGCTTGTTCTGTGTTTTGTACCAAACACAGTGGTTTTCAGACTATTGTAATTTGGACTTGGATGTTTTTGAGACCACAATTTTTCCAATATAAGGGGTACAAAATTGTGATTTAGTGTGAAAAACTTTGCTTGTATATTAAATGTATATAACTAAATGCATATTAAATGTATAGACCATCTGGGGGGATGAATTGTCTCTTATTATAGTTATGAAATAGTTTGATAACAAGCAGGAAATGTTAATTGGCCAATAACAGGACAACATAGAAATGGTCTATATAAATTAATGTCCAATAAAGTATCCACTGTAATTTCCACTGCAAACACAACGGTTCTCAAGCAACTTTTATTAAAAGTTTGGAAAACTTTTTTCTGTATATATTTCTGTATATATTAAAAGATATATAAACACACACTTTTGTCATTTTATTGGTTTTTACTTTATCACTATAGGTTTTTACCATTTTTTTCAGCTTTAGTTCGTTTAAAACAACAAGAATAAAGTTTAGCAGAATTATCATTGCCTTTTGGCTATAATCCGAATCAAATCCCAGCTAAAGTCTTAACTTTCTGAGCAGAAGTTTTTATTTCATATCCTGTTCTGCTTGGAAAAAGGCCACAAAGACAAATGCTCTGCGGAAGAAGTGTCATGTTTTACAAGGAATACATTCCCCCCAAAAAAGACAATTCAGTCATCATATTCACACTCTCATGTCATACCACAACCACATGACTTTATTTGTCTGTGAAAGAGAATGAGCAAATGATGACAGAACTTATTTATTTCTTTTGGATTGACAAATCCTTTAATTCCTGGTCTTACGATTATTCCAAAGAACTTGTTTCTTTGTGTGGTTAAAATGTTTAACACTACAATAAAACATGACACTGTAGTTTCTCTCTTATTCTCAGTTAAATACATTCAGTTGTTGTTTTTCCTGTGACTGAACATCAGAGCATCATGAATAGCTGAAGGAAGCTAAGTCTCTATTAATGTCTTGTACACATCCCTCAATATTATCTTGTCTCATTCTGCTTTTGATCTTATTCTTATTCCGTCATCTTTCTTTCTTTTTCTCTCTTCCTTGCCCTCACTTTAACTGCCGTTTGTGCTTTTTTTCCCATAAATTACCCTGTGGAGCACCCACACAGAAGTTCACATACACACACACACACGCACCCCGTCCGATGGCCAACTCGCTGACTAACATCCCCCTGACCTCATCCCAGATGACTAGACATTAGGGGTGTGGGTAAAGGAACAGAGAGTGAAAGAAAGTCTTCTGTATTTGGTTAAGACTTTTTTTTTCTCTCCCTTTCCAAAGTAATACTTGGACGGGGTCATTTGTTCACCTCACAGACACTGAGAAAGAAACCAAAGTCATTATGAAAGCGTTTGCATGTGTGTGGGTCTGTCCAGAAGGAAAGCTGACAGACAAAGAGGATCTGTGTGATTGAGAAATAGAGGGGAAGCTAGAGTTCAGTGAAAACGAGAGTTTTTTTTTTTTTTTTTTACCTTGACGTGGCTCTGTGCTCCGAGGTTGTAGATTTCTGTGGGTTTGACTTCATTGATGATCTTCACCAAGCACGTGCTGTCGGTCAAGTCTCCATAGTGCAACTTCATGTCTATGAGAATCAATTTGATCATCTTTTAATAACACATTGAGCAGCCTGATACAGCTTCACTGTCTACTGGAAAGATTTAAAAGCTTTAAAAGAGTTTTGTCCTCCACATCTGCTCAAGTTTAAAGAGATAACTCACCTAAAAATGACAATTCTGTCACTGTTTACTCACCTTTTGCTTCAAACTAATATGAGCCTCTTTTTTTTTCTGTTGAACTATAAAGAAGATATGAAGAAAACTGTACATCTGTAACTATTGATTTCTATACTAATTCCTACAATGAAAGTCAATGGTTACAGGTTTTCAGCTTTTTTAAATATATCTTCTTTTATGTTTAAGAGAAGAAAAAATGCTTGAGAGCGAGTAAATAGGGAGTAAATTTTCATTTTGGAGAGAACTATGCCTTTAAAGATTGTCACCTAAAGCGAAAGCTATCAGACCCAACACAACACAAAATCATAACTATGTCTGAAATGTTCACATATTCTTTTGCTGAAGATTTAAAATACATAGCTTCCCATCACCGGATCAACTGGAAAGAAAAGATTGTCTGTCTCTGGATTTTTTGTGCAAAAAAACAAGAAAAATTGGTGATTCTATTCTATTTAAAAATTCAGCTTTTTTAGCTCTCGGTCAAAACCAGATACAGACTGAAGACCTATTTGGATGGCAAATGTTTTACATAGGAACTAAACAGTGACATTATAGCCATTATTTAACTCTCATGTCAGTGTTTTTTTCTCCCAATATCCAGGAGAAAATTCTTGGTCAAGCTTAGAAACCCCATAGTCAATAATTTAATCCCAGGCCAAATCATCTGGATACATTGAGGGCAACATAATTTTAACAGCACAAATGATACAAGTAACAAAGAAAGCGTGTTTCAGAAAACCCAACTGAACTGTGGACATCAGACATAAATGCAAGCATAAATTGTCTGTTTGTAGGGTATGTGTGTGCAGTATTTCTAATTAGGGCAGTGTACTTGTTTTAACAATGTGTGATCTGACATTGACTGACTTTTCAAACAATAAACCTTTGCAAACATTTACTCCAAGTAAATTCTACATTTTGCTTTTGAAGGGCAAAATTATTGTCTGCCATTTTATCTTTTTCAAAACTACAGAAATTTTAAGGAGTGATTTCTGTCATAAATCACCTGTCACTACCACTCTTGTTTGTAGAGAATGAGATTACACACTCAAAGCAAGAGTGACAGCCATATTTAGTTGCACTGCCAATGAGTCATAGCTGTATGAACAAAAACTGAAAAAAACTCTTTGTCTCCCCCCGATTAACTGCAGTCCAAATGCACGAGTTTTATCACGGAGGAGCCGTGCCAATTTTTTTTCTTCTGATGTCTCCCAAAAGTAACAATTACCATCCAAATAGGGCTTAAGAACGTTTAGACTGTAACCATAAAGGAAAATGCCTTATAAAAATCCATTAAAATACTGAATAAACAACTTACGATCCTTAGTAGCTCCAATGCCTAGTAATATTTTACAAAGATTAGTAAACATGCATGCATGTTTTACAAATGTATTAAACAGGATTATTAATATAGGCATGCATATTGATTTGTAACTCACTTCCTTCTGTGTGCGTTTGAGGGTTATGATAAAGGTGCTCGATCCGACCCGTGTTAAAAGAACTGGACCTGCGGAGGATACCGTGAACCTGTCCAAAACACCAAAGACACTCAATCTCAGCAAACTGCACATTTTCAAACAGACTTAAAACATGATACTGTTGAATAGGTTAGAGCATTAGAACATAATATTGATGCAATAAGGATGCATTTAAATGCTCATGAGTTATATAAGATATTTAAAATGTGACAAACAATTTCAAATTAATGCTGTCATTTTGAACTTTTGATTTGTTTAAAAAATAAATTAATAGAAAATAATACACAAAAAAAATCAAGAAATTTATTTGACACAAAATAAGTTGAAATACCTCTGTTTTTCTACAATTTATATTATAAATAACAAAATGTACAGGGCACCTTTAAATGAGATGCATCCAATTTAAATTTGAATCTCATGAAAATCGGACTTAACAGACAGCGGGACAGATTTGCATTAGATAAAAGCGAGAAAGCTTTCGGACTTGTTTGTAGGAAGTCTTTCAGGGTTGTGTTGATTTACCCACCTCATAACCTTTAGCCAAGAGCAACTCTGCCAGGTAGGACCCATCCTGAAACCACATAGAGGGAGAATTATATTTCAACTTTTGAGAAACGCAAACACACACATTTACGGCAAGCATTACCCAAGAGAGTATGCAACACAATGACCATTTCTTTCTGAATATCATGCGCCAGACCACAGTGAAAACACGCCTACATTACACTAATAGGCTTTTTTGCACACGTACACACTCATTCATGTTGAGATTCACCCTCATGTCGTTCTGTAGTTGGATGATGCACTTTATATTACAGTACATGTACTTAACACATGCACTTGCCTAAGAAAATAATGTTCCCACTTCATATTAGGTGGCCGTAACTACTATGTATTTCCATCAAAAAATAAATACAATGTACTTACTGTTTTTATAATGTATTGCAGAACACTTGCACCGCACTTGAGGTGGGATATAGTAGTGTTAGAGAAAGGTTTGGTGGTATGGGTAGGTTTAAGGGTGGGTTAAGGCAGGGGTTCCCAAACGTTTCAGCCCGCGACCCCCAAAATAACAATGCCAGTGACTCGCGACCCCCAATATCCTCTGAGGTGGTTATAAATACAGAAACCTTGCATGCAATGACGCACACACACCAATTAAATTTGTGTCAGTGCTTTAAATGTGCCAGAAAGTATAACCTGATGTTATAAAATCAAAATGCATCTGACGCTATTGCTGCCTTTAATATAATGTAATTACCCCAGGGGTCGCAATCCAATAGAACTAGTAACTATAAGCTACTATAGTAACTATATAGTATATAGTAACTATAAACGACTATTTTTATTTTCAGTATAGTTATGGATAAAATATGTTAATTCTTATGGTTTAATAAAAATAAATAGATTTTTGGAAATCACCAGGCGACCCCCCTTCATTGCCCCGCGACCCCTCGTGGGGTCCCGACCCCCACTTTGAGAACCACTGGGTTAAGGTGTAAGGGATGGTCAACAGTGTAATTACAAATGCAATTATGTAATGTAGATGTAATTACATGCATGCATTTAATCAATCATAGGTACATGTATTTATACAATATGTACATTGTGACAAATGATTAATTACAGTGGAAGTACATATTAGTTAGGGCCACTTAATCTAAAGTGAGACCAAAGTAGTCATTATAAAAAGCAATTATTTTGGTTAAGGTTATTTCAAGGGTAAGTTTAAGGACTGTAGCTATTATTCTCCAGTTTAGATAATGAATATGATTATGAATAAGCACTGTAAAATATAGTGTTTATACTAGTGCACTGTTTGGCTATGACCAAATAAGAATCTTCTAAGATATATTTTTGTACTTTGCACAAGAAAGAAACTCAGAGTTTGCGATGTAACAACAGTGAGTACATGATCACAGAACAGCCATTTTAGGGTGAACTATCACTTTAACGCCAAAGAATGTCCTTACCAAATTGAGCTCCATACATAGTCTGCAAAGAATGCAAGAAAAACAGTGGGCTAACAAGCAACTATAGGAGTGCCTAGGGGCTACATCACACACTGCAAGCCAGTGTGAAGCAGTCCTACTGAAGCAGTACCAGTATTGATATTGATTACTAAACCAGTTTCATCAACTATTACTACATATTAAACAACATAGGTTTACAAATAGAAGTCACCAAAACAATTAATTTTTCAACAAAGATCAAATGATAAAGAAATAAATATACACAACTTTATAAAAGATTCTTAAAACGTACAAACAACTTCGACAGAGACAACTGTAGAGACAATATCAATAGAATTTGTAAATGTCTTACTTTCTAGGTCCCTAAACACATCTTTAAATGTTTGACCTGATAAAAATCTTCATAAAAAATTGGGCAATTTTACAGTAGGGCTGGGCCGATAAATTGGTATCGGTCATAATTGATCAAACACCATTGTAAATAACGATTTTAAAAAGTGAGGTATGTGTCTGTTGATCGCGTGCCTTGGAAGGAATGGCAATAAGCGTGCTTTTAGACGCGATATGTCAACAGACTCAGGTTAGGTTTCATCATTGCCTCCTCAGGTCAGAATAAACGCAGCGGTGAGGATATTGTTAAAAAAAGGCTGTAAGGATGACGCCAAAGAGGCTTTTTGGTTTCTTTTCTTGTACATCCCAATATCTGATTTTTTTTTGGCATAGTGGTAATGTAGTGATTTAACTTCACAATTTGTAATGTTGCAGTAAGCATTTGAATAATGATGGTTGTTTCCTTTACTTGAAAGCTCAGATTTGATTAATAATTTGCTTTGTTTACAGAGTTTGAGGTTTACTGTATCATTATTATTTACACCTTAAAGTTTGCTTTGATTGCTCAGCGTTAGAACTTTATTGCTCACACTTTGTAACATTTTATTTATCAAGTTTAAGAGTCTGTTCAACACTTATGTTTATTTTTTTTATAAGACATGATATGAGATATTTTTGTGTTTTTGACTATTAAAACTATTTGGCTTAGTAATGTTGCTAAATTAAAATAAAGTAGTTAAATCAATTTTTAAAATCCTCATATCATAAATGGATTGTAAAAGAAAATTCAACAATTATCGATACAGAATGATGTGAAATATTATATCGTGATTTATTTAGCTGTATTGCCCAGTCCTATTTCACAGACAAGCTACTGCCACAATATTGACTTCTTAGCCAGATAACTACACTGAAAATATATTATATACTTTTTGAAAAAGTAAATTACATTGTATAACAGTACAGATTAACTGTGTACGCTTGACAGCTGTACTGTCCACCCCATTCATAACACCTTAATCTTTTCTGATTTTGATTGTAATTAAGCTGTTTTCATACAATAAATGTTGTGACTTGTAACTTGTATTTAATTGAATCTTTTACCCTGTAGCAAATGTTAATGTGTCAATATCCAATATGAACAACCTGACACTTTAAATAAACAGCTACTTCATTATTCTTGATCTAAAAGGACAGCAAACCTACTGAATCATTCAAGTTCATCACAAACACACACAAAAGAGAACTAACACATCAAACAAGGCCATTGAATCAGTTAGTAAAATACAGACAGCTCAGTTCAAGCCACCAAATCCACCTGACTATCAAATGCCATCCCATTTGTAGCCTCAAGACACATTTTAAGCTAAAACGTAAACAACCTTTGAGGCCTCTTTCATTCTTATTCACGTCTCCTTCTCGTTCTCCCATTTTTCCCCTCTCATACTTCCCGACCGCACATTCTAGAACGTTGGAACATTCCGCCCCGGCCATGGCATTCCGCCCCCTACTTCCTGCTGGGGTGATATAGGCAAAGTCCCAAAGACCTTTGGGAAAAAATGAGAAGCTGGAGCAGCCATGTGTGTGTGTTTGTGTGTGTTGTGTGTGTGCTGGTATATAAGTACAGTACATACATCCACAGAGGAAAAGATGTGCTTAAAGATACATTTCCGTTTCCTTTTCACACCGCTCACTGGGCATTTACATACAAACCGCTCAATGTCTGACCACCTGAGGCCCTTTCTGTGTGTGTGTGTGTGTGTGTGTGTGTGTGTGTGTGTGTGTGTGTGTGTATGTGTATTTTTGTGACAAAAGCAGTGCCAACAGCAGTGCAGACTCATAACCCTGATAAAAAGCAGCTTATCGTCATGCTGAGACTGTTGGGAAACGTTGCCTGTTTCCCGCAGATTGCGTTCATAGACAGGAAACCTAGATGGACACGACATTCCAACAAGTCTGTGCATACGAACACACCGGCCTACCATTACACTCAATCCCTTTCTGTCAGAATTATCAACTTAAATCACTTTTTAATGCTTAATCAGCACTTGTTTTGAGTCAAACCACATGTGCGAAACATCTCAGAAATGCTGGCTAATTTGGAAAAACTTTCCATTGCAATCACCATCATCCTGATGCTCTACATAAAGATAAATCTATAGGCCTTTTAAATCCTCTGCACGAGACACGGGCTGATTGCTAATGGCAAACCGTGGATGAATTTATGCAGAGAAAACCAAAATGGTTAAGGAAAGAATGAAGCTAATCAAATAAGCTCACTTGACTCGCCCAAGCAAAACAGTCCGTGTGTCTGTGACGTATCATCTGTTTGCGTACGTACTGTGTGTCAATTTGCCTGTGTGAAAATAGGCCTATGACCGCAGGAAAACACAGTGGTTCTCTCTTCACCCTTTCAAAGCATGAATGCAAACAAATGGCCTCTGTGTTCCCTTATGAACCACAAACAAGCACAACAATTTGAACATAATTAAGTGAGCATCATCAAAAAGACACAAAATTAAAGTCTTCACCATTCATTTCGGTTATGGAAACTGGGTTTGACGCAAGTGGTAGAGTGTGTCCAGAAGAGGTTTATGGCGACAGACATATACAGCAAATCAGAAGTAAAAGTGCTGTATGAAATTTATATTATGCGGAAAATCATTAAAATCAGAGATGTATAAACTTCTATATTATAGGTCAAGTTTATTTTAGTCATACGTTTTGTTTTGTTTTTGCTGAAAATGTAGTGTAGTCTGCTTATTATTTCCACAGCAACAGCACTGAATGTTACTTGTGGTGTTTGGTACGAATTAAAATCTTTTATTTGGTTATTCATGATTTGAATATAATCTGATATTATTCATTTGATTTAATTTATTCTAATGCTTTTACTGTAATATTGTTATCTAATTTACATTAATATTTTATGCTTATTTATTAAAATTGTTTTGCTTTTTATTTGTTTGTTATTACTAATGTATGCGTATTTACTTCTTAAAATATTTTTTTATTTTATTAAAGAATTTATTATATATAATGTGATTTTATTTATTTTATGATTACATTTTTTACCACTCTTAGATTATTTAATCCAGCTGTTATTCTTTGTTCGTTATATTAAGAGTAATGTGTGTTTATTTACTTTTCTTAAAAACATTTATATATATATATATATATATATATATATATATATATATATATATATATATATATATATATATATATATATATTTAGTTAATCTTTTTTTTTATAATTAAATTTTTA